CGAATAATCAAAGCATTGCACAGCTAAACAACAAACGTCCACATGTCCTTTTTTTTTACTGATTAAATCAAACACTGCAAACTCTCAATTCAAATACCTCAGCTTTTATCTCATCTCAAATCAAATGCCTTAGCCTTTATCCCAGATGTTTAGACAGAAATTTTGAACAAATGTCAAAACAGTGTAACAACCAATTAAAACACTGTGGATTCAAACTCTTTTGAAACTGCGTGCGCAAAACCCTGATTCTTGACTCAACACTAAAGAAACGCCTGTCTGATCAAACCTTGAGCCAAACTCAACCAAACCCTAATAATTTGCTTGAACTGTTCCAGAGCCATGAAAACCCTAATTTGGATAGACTGATAAGAAAAAGTCCGTTTGACTGATTCTTAGGCCAATCTGAAAAATCAGGAAAAGCCCGAAGTTGTGATTTCTTGTGGAAAAAGAGGAGGGTAAATTTTGGGGTACAACACATGGGTACCATACTTCATTCCGCACTTCAATAGGGGCAACCCCTTCTCCCTAGTATATGGCATGGAGGCAGTGCTCCCCGTGGAGGTTAAGATTCCTTTGATGAGGGCTCTGATGGAATCCAAGTTGTCTAAGGCTGAATGGTGTCAAAGTAGATATGACCAGTTTAATTTAATTGAGGAAAAAAGAATGACAACCCTGTGTCATGGTCAATTGTATCAACATATAATGAAGAAAGCGTTTCATAAGAAGGTTCGACCGTGTGAATTCAAGAAGGGTGATCTCGTGCTCAAGAAAGTCTTGTCCTTCCAACCTGATTCTAGGGGAAAATGCGCTCCTAATTATGAAGGCCCATAAGTTATTAAGAAAGATTTCTTTGGGGGTGCTATGATTCTTACAACTAAGGATAGGGAAGAGTTCCCACGATTTGTGAATGCTGATGTAGTCAAAAATAATTCGCCTAAACATAATAGAACAACTCGCTAAGTTGAAAACCCGAAAGGGAGGCTTAGGCAAAAATGAGCGTCTCGATGGACTGAAAACCCAAAAGGGCGGTCCAGGAAAAAGTTAGAGACATAAACAGAATAATTATCCTGGTAGATTGAGAACCAAAAAAGGAAATCTAGGCAAAAGTTAGGGATCATGGCAAGTTAACTTCATCAGGATGGATTCAAAACTTCGTCTATCAAAGGGGATCTCGATCGAATCCTTCTGAACGAAAGCTTGAGCACATGTGGATCCAGATTTGTTAGGGAGAATAGTGGTCATTGTATTTTAATGTAGCCTTTCCATTATTATTTACCATTTTTCTAAATTTTGTAATGATCTATGGAGTCTCGTCATTCGCGGATTTCCATTCTATTAATGAAAATTTGAGGCCCTATTCATCTATTTGCAACTCTTATTTTTTTCTTTCTGTCTAGCAAAATTCCATTTTTATTTTTGACAAATAAATCTTGAGAGAAAGTTTAAACTAAAATATTCATGCTTTTGAAAAATAAAAATGAGTTTTTATCTGATTTATGAATATAAGAAGGAATATCAACGGTTACTCCAAAGAAAGGCTAAACCTCGAAGTGTTGAACTATGTGTGGTTTATCTCGCAAGTATCTTCAAATGACAGATTTCTCCTTCTAAAGGTGTTATGATATGTTTGGTGTATGATCCTATGTTCCCCAGTGGATATTTAAACTCGATTTATCCTCAACCGAATCTCTACCCTGGATCACCACAACCAAAACATAATTCGCATAAGTGTCCTTTTAAGGGATTATAGATTAAACTTTGGTTACTTTTCCCATGAAGTACCTTTATTCCATGGAATTTGAAATTTCGTAGAAGATATTGCTCTGGTGATGATTCTGTTTATCCCGAATAGTGATTCCATTTTATCAAAATTGGCCGAGTTTTCGTTTGTAACACAATGTTAAAATAATTCTAGTTCATTTTTTTGGTGTCATATTATCAAGCATAAAAACATAGAATACATTCACGCATACATAAGTAATCCGTTCATACACATTCTCATTTCTCGGTCCATCTACTTTGGTTGTGCTTATCCCCAAGTAACGTATTTCCTTTTTCCAATAGAGTGACAACTTAAGCAGAAAATGTACATCCTTTCTAATTCCCCACTGAGTTTATTTCTTGTGGAAGGGTTGTTGTTTTATCCTTCATTTCCGTCTCACGATAGGATAAGTCCCAGTTGAGCTTATTCCTCATCTTTTAGAGTCTTGTCAGTTGTTTCTCTCCCTTTTGTTTTTAGATTGAACTTTGTCTCTTGCAGATGTTACCCAATGGATTTCTATAGGTTGTGAAACCTAGATTGAGGGTGCATTTATTTTGCGCCTGTAAATACTTCGTCTCCTCAGGTAGAATCTATTAATGGTTTCCACTGAAGATGAACTTTGTTCCCCATTAGTTTTGTTGCAACACTCTTTTGGAATCTTAACATGATAACAAGTGGAAGACTCTTTATTTGAGCAACTTTATTATTTCTGGATTTCCTCTTTTATGGCAAATATCGGTCTCTCCATGAGCAGTTTGTCTATCCCTAATGAAGTTATTGATTCTCATTCCCAACGGTGTCTTTATAACACTATATTGAAATCTTTCTCCTGACAGCAAGTGGCAGCCTCTTTATTTGTGCAACTTATGTATTTCTAGCATACTTTTACCTTATGGAAAATAGTGGTATCTTCATGAGCAGTTTGTTTATCTCCAACATATCAAATCTGATTTTTTATCAAATGGCATCTCTTTAGAAAAGTCCTGTGAATAAGTTTGTATATTATCCTTATCAGGTGGAAGACTTGATTAAGAAGAAACTGAGACCAGTTCGTGGCTTATGACCAGGTTCTTGGGGAGGTTTACTCAGCAAATGGAATCTCTTCGGAAAAGTCATGCGAAGAAGTTTATATATTATCCTTATCAGGTGGAAGACTTAATTAAGAAGAAACCGAGACCAGATCGTGGTGTGTGACCAGGTTCTTGGGGAGGTTTATTATCAGGAAACTGAGATCAGTTCGTGGCTTATGGCCAGGTTCTTGGGGAGGTTTACTCAGCAAATTATATCTCTTCGAAAAAGTCCCGCAGAGAAGTTTGTATATTATCCTTATCAGGAGAAAGACTTGATTAAGAAGAAACTGAGACTAGTTCGTTGGCTTGTGACCAGGTTCGTGGGGAGGTTTATTATCATAAAAATGAGACCAGTTCGTGGCTTATGACCATGTTTTTGGGGAGGTTTACTTACCAAATGGCATCTCTTTTGAGAAGTTTGCTCATCAACAACAAATGGCATCTCTTTTAGGAAGTTTTCTCATTAACAACAAATGGCATCTCTCCAGAAAAGTCCCGCAGAGAAGTTTGTATATTGTCCTTTTCAAGTGGAAGACTTGATAAAGAAGAAACTATAACCCGTTCGCCGTGGAAAGGTTTATTATCTTTTTTCTACCTTCAGTAAAAGTTTTTAGCTCACCTTCAGTAAAATTCTGTGCATTATTTTGTTTCTCTACCTTCAGTAAAAGTCGATAGTTCACCTTCAGTAAATGTCAGTGCATTCTTTTGTTTCTCTACCTTTAGTAAAAATTGCTAGTTCACCTTCAATAAAAGTCGATGTACCTATTTCTACCTTTGACACTGAGTTGGATATTTACCATCACCTTGAGTTAGTAGCCATTTATCCCTTCACAACCTATGTAAGGCATTTTCCCTGATAAAGTTAGTAATTTTTCTTCTCTTGAAGTTGTTCCCCAATAAGAGTCTCATTCGAAGTTTGTGGCTTTGTTCCCCAGTGGAGTTGTAATCTCTTCCCCTATGGGATTACTTTATCATGTGCTTGGTTTCTCCAGCAGTAGTTTATCTCATATTGCGTCATTCCCCATAAAATTCAGAGTATTGCATTCTATCATATCATAAACATCATTGTGGTATCTTAGGAAAAAAAATTATGTATTCTATATTTAAGTATCTTCAATCTCGTCGAAACGAAGATTTCAATCTTCATATCTAAGAATATAAGAAACTTAAATATGGGCATCTATCATACCCCAATTTTTGACTTAAGATCCCACCTTCATTTGCATTCTCATATATCATCAAGGTCATGAGATACAGTTGGTTTTTAACCCTCTCACCTTTGAGCATTGCTTATGCAGAGATTATCAAGTGTTGCGGACATCTTATCTTATGCATCACTAATATCTAATCAAATACAAAGGTGTATGTTTTATTTCTTTGTTTTTGTGTGCAGAGACAGATCTGAATCATGAACGTCAGGTGTTGTGCCTAAATTAGGGTTTTGGATCCCTCAAGTGTTCAAGTATGGTGAACCACCAATTCTAAAAGGCTACTTCATCAAAGTTTGGCCTATAATCTCAAGAGCACAGCCAATATTTCATCATCATTGGTCTATATATGCATCAATATGTCTGGGAATGCGAGGAAAGATCAAATTTGCAAGTCGATTCAAAGCACTTTGACCAAAAGTCAACATTTTCAAGATCAAGTTCAAACAATTATAACTTCTTCATTATTCAATATTTGTGAGCGGTTCTTTTTGTGTATGACTCTCCTTGACGTCATCTCCAACTTCTCTTTACAAGTCAAGAGCTAATCATGTAAGGAGGAATCATAGAGAAAAATAGAGAGAAATAGAGAGGAGAAGAGGCAGAAGCACTACAAAAAAACTTTTTTCAAACATACTTCTGTTGCAACACACCAGAAACTCCACGGAAGTATCATACAAAAATCACCATTTTTTAAATCAGAGGGAGAAGAAGGAATATTTCAAACTCACTTTATTTCGAAGAACTCCGTCGAAGAGGCTCCGATAGGTAATGCTTCTTCCACTCTTTTTCATAAAAACTCACATCTCTGCATATACTCATTGGCATAGACTGATTGTAGTTGCATACTGTTTGATATTCACTTTTTGCATTTATTCCATGTCATAATTTGTAACTGTTGCATTTTTTAAGTCACTACGGTAGAAGTAGAAAGGGTTGAGCGTGAGTCTAAATCGCTTATTAATGTTTTTTATGATACCTTTGCGGTTCTACTGAATTAATGATTTCTTGAAATTCTATTTGCCACGTTATCATTTGTGAATCATCTGTGGACATATTCATGTTATCTTTGTTGTAACCCTGTATAAAAAGCATAAATTGACATTTCAGTAGAAAACAAAAGTTTAAAAATGGAAAAATCATTTTTTTAAAAGAATAAACAAAAAAATGTTAGTATCATTTACCCGTTGAGTATCTACCTTAGTTCCACTAGAAAGAAAATACTTCCTCATAGCTCTTCATAAACCTTACAATGCAGAAACTACACAAACTCCCCTTAATCACCATTACCAAAATCAACATCCATAAACTCTCTACTGCTAGATCCTTCATTCATCACCATCATTGAACCATTTCTCAAACCTACTCCATTCATTCTCTTCCCTACTTCGCAACCTTCTTCATCCTTATAAAATCATCAAAAGAGACGCATCACTACACCTTCACTCAAATCTCACCCCGTTCTCTTCAATAATATTGCAGAAACCATACTCCCTTTAACCTCACATGCCAGCCGAATCTACATAAAACCAGGAAGTTTTTGTTCAAATCAGCCACCATATAACTCCGTGCAAAATTTCATTTCCACATTATTACAGACCGGCACCAACATCCCCTCAAGCTTAAAACTCAGAACCCATGCATAACTCGCCTTAACCACTCAATCTTCACACTCATACTTCACCTATAACTAAATAATCCGCACCTTAATCCTCAACTCTCTAAACCCCATTACAATTCACGCATTGAAACTTCTGCAGAAACTCCACATACCCATACCTCTAATTCTACACAACCTACAGTGCATCCCCCAAACTTCATTCACATACGCTTCACATCATCCAAACTCTGCTCAATCTCCTCTCTAAACAGACCTTGGACACTACACAAAAACCTTCAAATAGACCTTCTTAAACCTCTGCATGAATTCCCACCAAAGCTCATTAAAATATTTCTCTTAAACCTGTCTAATTCTCTCTTTATAAACCAGAAAATTATCCTTCACCACAAACCTGTTCAAACCACCCTTCAAACCTCCCTACATCACCTTCAACAACCCTTCGACCCTCATTGTACCACTGCTTAACTCATTCCATAACCTCCACGATACAACCTCATAACACAGTTGTACCTCTGCACCAATCTTCAACTCCACACCCATATAAAACTCATGCCTACCCCCAATTACACAATAATCACCAAACCTGCAACGCGTAGCATTCAAATCCAAGCATCAGTGATACAAACCCAACCAGAAGCAGTTTTGAGTCACTTTTGAATCAAAGAATGAAGTGGAATCACAAAGATTAAAGGAATCAGATAGAGTACCTGAAATTGTCTTCGGATTCATGTTGTTATTTCTACTTCAAGAGTAATCGAAGGGAGTATTGAGATTGAAGCCGAGAGAGCAAGGTAGTATGTTGTTGTTGTTGACGGTGGATGGAGTATATCGTGAGAGAGAGAGAGAGATAAAGAGAGAGATCGAGTTCGAGATAATTAGGGTAGTGTTGTTTTTGTTTGAACTAAGACGAGGCACGTTGAAAATCAGTGAGAGGAATCGATGATGCAGGAGAGATTAAATCAATTAAGATGGGAAGATGAGTTGCGGCGAAGTTTATTTTACAGTGAAATCGAGAGACACGGAGGAAGAGTTGTCGTTATTGAGGAATTGCTGAGAGATCGGGGGAGTGAGGAACGTTTTGTTGGATCGCTGAGAGCAGAGGAAGTGTTCTTTCAAGAATGTGAGAGAGAGGCGCTTAGCCTAATTTACTTTTAGATTTTTCCAATCCATCAGTTAGGGCTGGACCCGGGTCTGACCCGACCCGGTTCATTTCAGCCCAATTATTTAATTTTAATTTTATTTTATTCAAAACAGTTTTTGTTTTTAAACCGTGGGCCTGCTGATTCCTCTTAAGCCCAATCAATCTATGTTCACACCCCCCTATTTGACACTCCAAAACCCATTATTTGATTTCTTTTCTTATTTTTAACTATCTTATTTTTTGTAGGTTATTGATTATAATTAACTTAATTATCTTGTTTAGACTTTAATTTTTCCTTACTTTACTATCTCAACTTTTTATTTAAGTTTTCTTAGCTTCATAATCGTATAGTCTTTTAATTTGATGGCTTTAGTAATTAATTTAAACTTAGAATTATTGTAGTAAATTTGAAATTTTAATTTAGTTAGTAAATTTTAGAACTTTAATTTAGTTTAGATTTATTTTAATAACTTTAGGATGTTAATTTAGTTTAGATTTACTTTAGTGACTTTAGAATTTTAACTTCGTTTAAAATCAATTTCAATTTAATCTTCTACACTTAATTTTCTTTGTCCCCTCAATTGATCTCTTTATTGCTTGTTTATCATTGGTTCTTTTGTTGATTCCCTTGTAATTTTCTTTGTTGATAAATGATATGTTACGTACGGTCTTTGTGTTTTACTCCAAGGGAAAGAATAAAATTTGTTGACTTCATGTAATCGAATATATTTAATATGATTATGTGAAACCCCCTTCATATATTTTTTTAGTTTTATTAATCTTAAGTTAGATCTCTTCTAAACCCTAATTTTAAAACTCACACCTCTTTTAATAGAAACTTCGCCACTAGCTCGTCGCATCTTCAAGATCTCATCCCCACACTCATTTAGCAAGCAAACCTATTTTAACCAAAAACATATATTTCAAAAGGTTCCTATAGGATACTATAATGCATTGTATTTTTCTTTACTTTTAGTATTGCACTTACTTTGCATATTTACGGGTTTTATTTTGCACTTTTCTCTTTTCCCTTAGAAATAATAAAGCGCGGTGGTGACTCTTGCTTTTGTGAATCAAGTTAATTAAATAGTCTGATCTTCAATTTTCACCGCTACACATGGTTCAATTTACAAGGTTCATTCAAAGTTTTTCAAATGAAACATCTACGATTCAATTTGATTCAAATCTGTCTGAGCATTTTTCATGTTCTACATATAAATGTGATCATCAAGGTATCATGCCATTACATGTTGAGATATTGGGAATAACATTACAAAATTCTAAATCCCTAAAAGCTATACAATGATATGCCATGCTTCAAAGTCTCCATGAAATATCAACTTGGTGCCTTGCCCAAAACTGTCCTTTGCTTCTGTCCAAACATGTCCACAAAACTTGCTGCCAATACCTCCAAAATCCTCCATAAATAGAGGACAGAAATCAGAAATAAGAGAAAGGACAAGATTTTCCATAAACCACTACTCATCCCACTCAAATAACAGCTCACTAATTTTAATCTTACTCTCCTCTCAATTCACTCTTTTACCCCCTCTTAACTGCTATAAAATCAGACCTCTCATCCGCTTTTAAGGGAGATAAGGAACACCAAGAAATATCTCTGAAAACCTATGCTCAAATAGAGACCAATACACCTCAAAAACCCTACTAAACTCTGCCTCTCTCTACTCAACTTAACATCAATTCTTCAACAAGTTTCCATCCAAAAACCTCACAAGTACCCTACAAAATATCTGCCCAAAACCTCTTCTTGATTCCTTCATCAATCTGCACCTCTTCAACCTTCATCCTCAAACTTTAAATTCCCTGCAAAAACACCAAAAAAAACTCCATCAGTGCAATCCTCAATAACTATCATTGCAAGTTCATACGATCTACAACATCATAACATCACAACTCACCGCCACTCAAACACATCACATCAGAAACCCCAAACACAATCCGAAACTCAGAGTAAGAAGAATTTTGTACAAAGCATACCAAAGAAGTAGAAGAGCAGAAGAAGAAAAAGAGAAAGAGAATCGTCGAAACCGTACCTTATCAATTATTGGGAGAAAATTTACTCTCCATCGGTAACGATTTTATTTTTATTTGTTTCTATGATGCTTGTGTTTGCTTATTGTTGCTCATTTGTTTGAGAATCGAGAGAGAAAGTGAGAACATAGTTGAATCGAAGCGAGTGAGATGAGACGAGGTGGTGGCAACGTCATGTTTACGAAAACATCATTTATTTATTTTTTTTCTTCTTTTAAATCAAATAATGTATAAATTTATAATGAAATGGATTAATTGGTGTTGGATTGTGATGATGGACCGAACATTGATTCTGCTGGGCCTCACATGCAGATGTTCACCTAAAGCCCAACACCTTTTTTTTTTGAACAAAGCCTAGTGCACACTAAAAACTCTCTTGGACCTAATCTCACGGGCTTAGCGCCAATTTTCCTGTTGTGTCCATACCCATGACTTCAGTCTTCCGCCTGGGTTTTCCTCTTGGCAATTTCTTTATATTTTGTTTGTTTTGTTAATTGTTTAGAGTTGATTTCTATTTTCTTCAAAAATGATGAAAGATTTATAATTAATTTTTTCTATTATTTTTTTTGCTTGATAATTCAAAAATATTAGATTTATAATTTTAATTTCCTTTTGATTTTCGAATTTCTTTATAAAAATCACAAAAACTTTAATATTATCTGCTTTTTATTTTTGTTGATCGTGTGGTTGATTTCTTGACATGTTTCCTTAAGTGACTCCATGAAGCGATTAATTTTCTTTTGATCGTTTTTGTGTTGAATATAACTTTAGGATCGATCCATGCATGATAACATTCTTAGGTTATAATTCCCTTTCAAAAACTCAATCTTAAGTCCACTTTACATGATAACGATTAAGATTAAGTATCTCATTATATTTTTGTTACTTCTTTTTTGCATTGCACAATTAAAACTAAAGCTTCTTTTCTTTAATCAAAAATCCAAAAACACTTAACAATTTCAAACACTTTCAAAAATTAAAGGAGGAAAGACTTAAGTATCCCTTGCTTAAGGGAACCACTTAAGATATTTCTCCTAACAAAAATACTTCAACAAATCCAAATCATTTTGCCTTAGGGCATTTTTCTCTTTAAAACCTTTTCAAAAAGGACCTGTTAATTCCTTTCTACATAATACAACAATGTGTGAGTCTCCATGGATCGATCGAAAAATGTTAACTGTTAGAATGCGAACATAACATCGTCCATATAAAACACACAACAGACAAACGTTTTTGAGAAGAACTATAGAGTTCTGATTCCCGTTAGGATACGTAGGCACTGAGTTGCAAAACTCGGACGAACTCAATAATAAAAACCTTTTATTTTTC